AACAACAACTCACTGTCCCAAAGTCCACATTTAGAGCAATAACAAAAAGTCTACTACCTATTTTGTGCATCAGCAACATAGGACTGGCGGTAACAAGTGTGAGGTGAGAGTAGAGGGGAGGTTACGCATCAGGCCCACTGGGCCCCGAGTCTCAGGGTGGCAGTGATGTGATGATTATCTGCTTCCATTTCCACATAGCACCCATTTTCCCCTAATGACATGGTCTTTGGAACCTAACCACGTCAGAAAGCAAGGAGTGCTGTACTACCCTACGCCCCCAGGTACCCGGGTTCGGTCTGCTTTTCAATTCCTTTTTCAGGATTATTATGTAGAATTTCAACAAACCAGCCTGCAATCATGGGATGGGAAGGGGAGAAATCTGGGAGCAATGCTATCTCTTTTCCTCTGCAAATGGTTTCTCAGATGACTCCTGAATCGTGATTGAGTGTAGCTCAAACATAACACACGGAAACAACAATGAGATATCCTCTCACCCCAGGAAAAACTGCCAAGCCCAACAAAGCAGTGAACGACAAATGCTGGGGAGGAGGTGGAGCTGGCGGAGCTGTCGTGCACTGCTGGTGGGAGTGTGAAATGGCACAACCACTGTGGAAGGTGGTCTGGCGCTTCCTCAGAAAGTTAGAAATACCATCTGACCCACTACTGGGAATATACCTCAAAGAAATCAAAGGTGGACATAGAAGAAATGTCATAAATTCCAGAATTTATTACTGCCTTATTTTTAAAACTTACTTTAAATGTTTATGGCCTTATCAATAAAGTCCTCCAAAGCACTACATGATGTGAAAATTCAGCCCCCCCCGCCAACATGGGGAGTAGATTTAACACTTAGTACAACCACTGAGGGCAAAATCTGAGGTCACTTAATTTTCTCCAAATGCCTTGTGGTTTTTAGGAGAGAAAAATGTTTCATTTCTACACCTATCAGGCTGACGTATTGGTACCTGATGAATCTTTTGAGTTTCCTGAGAAATGTCATTAATTCCTGAGACAACCTTGGAGCTAATATTTCATATTGATAGCCGGATGCTTGTGCTTTTTCCAAATCTCCCCACTTGGAAGAGTTGGGCTGCAGCCAAGTTTTCTGTTCTTTGCGCAGTGACACGAGCAAATGGGTTAATTCACCTCTAATGAGCTACTGTAGCTGCTCCTCAGAGCAAAGTCTGCTCTCAGGAAATGGAAGGTACGGTTTGTTCATCGCTACCACCTAACCCTGGACTCAGCCTTTTGTTGATTTACTTTCATGCAAGATACGTTAAAAAAAATTAAATTAAAAGATCAAGAGATCTGTTCAAGCTTAAGGAGGATGATGGGCAGGACATTGCTGTCCCCACAGAAAACACCGCAGACTCCACAAGTGGTGCTCGAGGCAGCTCCTCAGGGCACACTGAGTGGACCACGGGGAGGAGGGACATCAGAGCTGACCCGGGGGTCCTTCCCCCTGAAGGTGAAAACCCGAGTCAGCTACTCTCCATGGGTGTGTGGGGCTGTAACCTGCAGCAGCAGGAGGCTGCCCATCTGTCTCTCCTGAAGCTGCTAGTGGCTTCAAATCGCAGTGCAGCTTGACGCAGACATTACACCCACAAGGCTCCCAGGGGAAGGGAGAGGGCGTGTTGTTGCGGGCACTGCTGTTCCCTGCAGTTGTGTTGATTCTGACCCAGGCGAGACCCTGTGTATTACAGAGCTACTGTAATCTGTAGAGTAGAACTGCTTCCAAGGATTTACCTCTTTTCCTGGTGGCCTAGTGGCAAGAAGCTGTCCTGCAATCTCCAAGGCATGTGGTTGAGGCCACCAGTGCTCTGTGGGAGAAGGATGGGCATCTCCTCTCATGCAATTAACTGCCTCAGAAAACCTGCCCAAGGGTCAGCTAAGGGTCAGTTCCAACTCGACAGCACATAACATTATTTATGAAGGCAGGTCACCTTGTATTTTCTTCCACTGTACTGCCAACTTTTCAGTTAGTTTACAAATAGTAATAAGCTCTGGTTAAAATGCTTGGCTGCTGTCAGCATGGATCACAGTGTGCACACAGCAGCCTCTCTGCAAGAAGGAGGCAATGTGTTCTGTAAAGATTTGCAGCTTCTGAAAGAGTATGGGCCAGTGCTACTCTATGGATGGGGTAGTCAGGTGTCACACTGACTCAGCAGCAGGGCGTTGAGTTTTGGCCAGGACCTCTGTGGAATAAGAACCTCTTTAAACATCTAAAGAGCAAAGATTCCACTTTAAAGACTGAGATACACCTGCACTCAGCCATGAGATTTTCTATAGCGTCACATGCATGTGAAAGTTGGACAGTGAGTATGAAAAACCAAAGAAGAGTCAGCTCCTTTGCGCTGTTGTGCTGGTGAAGCGTGGTGAATATGCACATACTGCCAACAGAACAGAAATCCTCTTAGAAGAACTGGATGCTGCTTACAGGCATGATTTTAGGAGAGGCCAGACCTTTGAAAAGGGCGTCATACTAGGAAAGGTTGGAGATCCCTGAAGGAGAGGAAGACCCTCAGTGAGACAGTTGACTCGGTGACTACACCCACAGGCTTCCTCAAGGCAGAGACTGCGGATGACACAGCATCAGGCAAGGTCTCCATGTTGCATGTACGGGTCGAGATCTAGCCGACAATACCTAACAACCACCACACAGGCCTGGGCGGGCTGGGATGCTTGTTTTCAGATAACATTTACTAGAAATAGTGTTTCTCACCTTTGGTTGATGGCGTTTTTTAACAGCTCCCCAAAGGGTCTCAGTGCACAGTTAAGGCCGAAAGCCACCGCTTTTGAGTGGCTTTCAAGCTTGCAGTGCGTGAGATTCACCCCAGAGCTTCGCTTCAGAAAATCCCTGTGCCCGAGCGGTGCCCGCTCCTGGCTGGCTCCGATCTCGAGACCTTCGTGGCTCAGGAATTCTAGTGCGTCACCAAGTCTGAACATGGCAAACTTGGAGAAGTCACAGCAGAATGTTTGGGCTCTTACTAAAATGCAGTTTGTGGTTCAGGACGCCTGGTCTGGTTAATGGTTTTTCATGTCTAACTGAGGCCCAGATGATGTCTATGCTGCTATTGAAAGGGTCTCCTTAACCAGTGTCAGCAGCACCACTTAACCTAAAGAATGAGGTCTCCTGTCAGGACTGCCACATCCTTAGAAACTGCAGTTCCTGGTCTTCTTCAGCCAGTTAACCTCCCAGCCCGCGTACCTCATTGTCACACTCAGCCAGGACCTGATCATATTCACTCAAAGCAACCAGGAAGATAATGGAGGTGACACTTTCAAAGCAGTGAATCCATTTCCGTCTTTCAGATCGCTGGCCACCAACATCCACCATCCTGTTCAACAGAAACAGAGAACACGGAAAGGACAGGCTTGACGCCTCACTGTGTGGAGAGGTGGGGGGTCATCATGCCATGAAACTGGAGCTTCAGGGGAGCCTCAGTGCCCTTTAGAAGTGAACAGATCCTGAGAGCCATGCTCTGCGCTCCACTGCAGGCAGCAGGGAGCCCTGGCTGCTTCCTACTAAGGGGCGAATCACCAAATATACATGGGGGATTAGGGCAGGTGTGGTGGAGACCAAGGTGGACTGCCTGCCCAGGGCCCTGGTGGCACAGAGGTCTAAGCACAGGGCGACCAACCGAAAGGTCAGCAGTTCAAATCCATCAGATCCTCCATGGATGCAAAATATCTGTGTCTTTAAGTATTTGTAGTCTTGGAAACCATAAATGAGTGGTTCTGTGGATTTTATATATATCTACAAGCTCATGTGATTTTTATATGCAGTTTGCATCATTTTTTAGTTTGTATCTTTTTCTTTTTTAAAAGAGGGACCCCTTTTAAAGAAGTAGAGAAATTTGCTTTTGAGAAAAGACGGGGGTGTGGGGGTGTGTGTTGGGGTGAGGGGTGTGTGTGTGTGAGAGGATGTGTGTGTGCGAGGGGGGTGTATGTGTGTGCAGGTGTGTGTGTGCACGCGCGGGTGTGTGTGCGCATATGTGTGTCATCAAAACCAAACCCACCGCCCTTGAGTGGATTCCGGCTCATAGAGATGGTCTTCCATCAGCTGCAGATCCTTATGGGAGGAGACTGCACCAGAGAGAGTCCCCCCCATTCTGGGATTTGAGACCCATCACAATCCTGAACAGCAACCTGAGACAGAGGACCCATCTCCCCTAAGACAGAGCCTCTGTTTAGGAATAAAGGGAGCGGGTGCCTTCTGTAGGGTTTCACCCTGCAGACCCAGAGGCTGCCCATCTCCAGGAGTCCAGTCCATGAGCAGCTCCATGGGAGAAAGATGAGCAGTCTTCTCACGTTCTATTTACAGCCTTGGACACAGACTTGGTGGTGAGTTGGAAGCAACCTGAAGGTGGTGAGTTTGAGTTTTGTCTGGATTTTTTTGAGTCGGAATAACACAGCCATTTAAACATGGATTCAAGAAGTGTGCAGCTAAAGGGTCTCACAAAGGTGAATGTAATTACACTCACTAAATTGTGCTTAAAAATGGTTCCAACGACAGATGTTTGCTATACACTTAAAAAAAAAATGAAAGCAGTTGCGGGGATGAGGGCCCCTTATCTGGGAACCTCCAAGTGCAGGCAGACAGACTCTCAGTGGACTGGGGGGTGGGGGGGCGTCTCACCGGAAGATGATGTTCTCCAGGTCAAAGGGGTACTCGATGATACCAGTTGTGGGCACTCGGACCCGAAGCACGTCCTGCTGCGTTGGCACAAAGGATGGAGTGGCGATTCGGTCAATGTCGGTCAGGTAACTGGGATGCAGAGAGAGAGAGGAGGGAGAAATGTCCATCCTACGAGAGGGATGTCACCCTAGCTCGCAGAGGCCCCACAGACAACCACCGAACCAGCCCCTGGCCAGGCCCCCCACCCCTCTCACCAAGGCCTTGCAGAGAACATGGAGTGGGGTGCAGTCCTGAGACCCCCAGAAATGTGCGTCTTAGGCCATACATCTTCCCTGTTCCAGGCTGGGCAGATGCCACCCAGTGCCTGGCGAGGGCGGTGGTAGTGTGACAGAAACAAGCTGCAGGCGGTGGTGATGAGGCTGATTTCCATTTGCCAGGCCCCCTGGGAGCCCTCTCCCTCCCACACACCCAAGTCCACAGAGAGGGTATAACGTGGGTCCTGCTCTGCACAGCTTCTACCCAATGAGCTAGCGTTTCCGAGATGACAACCTCATTGCCATCGATTTGGAACTCACAGCTGACGGTCCCTCCAGCAGGTGTTAGGAGGCTGTGAGAGGCACTGGAGAACACTCCCCAGCTTTCAACCGCCTGACCACACTGCCATGCAATGGACATAAAACAAGCACGGGGGGAATTTTCTCATAGTCACAACTACATAACGCTTTTCTGTTAAAGATGCCGGACATAAAATAACCTAAAATCTATATCTTGGATTATTGCCACCCTATTTTAAACTCCAAGATTAAAACCTATCCTTTTATCTGTGGTAAAACCAGATGACACTTTTTTTTTTTTAATTGAAGGCCTACTTTAAAGAAAGGCATTTAAAGAAAAAGCAGGCACCGGGGCCTGGTCAGCATTGGAGGGAAGGCGCTGACTCCTGGTCCAGGCACGACGGGCCCACAGTCAGAGCACAGCCTCCCCAACACCAGGAGCTGAGGGGATAGAGGACGCCAAGAGGCCACCAGAGAGCTCTGGACACAAGGAGCTGAGGAAGAAAGGCCGAGATTCCGCCCCCCACCCCCTTTTTAAAGGGATATGTGTCCATACTGAAGGGAAAATCAGTTGTTCTCAAGTTGATTTCAACTTATGGGGGTCACATGTCAGAACAAACAGTGGCCCATAGGGTTCTCATTGGCTAGGGTGTTTTTTGGTTGGTTTTTTGTTTTTAAAGTAGATTATCAAGCCCGTCTTTCAATGAACCGTTGTGTGGACTTGAACCCGCAGTCTTTGAGTCGACAGTCAAATGCACTGTTTCAATATCCAAGAATGTCCTAGTAAAAGCAGCCCAACTATCAGCAACCTCCACACAATGCACTGATTCCATCTGCAATGCTTTCCTGAGGGCCGGCTCCTAGCTAAGCTCTCGCTCAGCGTCCATCGGTGTCTGCTACCCGGCACCACAATGCATATGGTGCTGGTCATTCCTGCTCCATCACCACTGCATGTTATGCTGATATAAACGCCGCATGTGCTGGCTCCCCAGCAACATGAAGTGACATAAGTGACCAATCGACCTGTACTGGCCTCACCCCCGGCTGTCCAAGCCCTCACAGCAAAGCATGGCTAGTTTTGGTCGCATTGGCAGCAACACAGCAGTCATGCAGCAAATGCTTGCTGAATGGGCAGACAGCATAAGCAGCCAGGCCTTGCAGAGGTTCTTCTCTGAGTTTTCAGGTCAGTTCAAGCAGCACTCATTTAGCGTCTCTCGTACGGAAGTGACGGAGTTAAGCAGAGCAAGGAACACACAGCAAAAACCCTGCCTGGTCAGCCTCACATTTCTGTTATAGACTGACAAAGGAAAGGGATCCCCAAGCACCGAAGAGGATACAATAAAAACACCACCAGCTGCTTCTGCGCATTCACCGTGGGCTGACAAAGAACAAACAGGTCTGTCTTAGAGGAAGAGCAACCGGGGTTCTCCTGAGAGGCAGGGATAGTGAAACTGCTTAGAAGAAAACATCAACACTGGGAAAGGTGTGAGGAAGAGAGGAAGCCCCACAACAGGCTGGATGGACACAGTGACGGTGACACTGGGCTCCAGAGGTGGTGAGGATGGTGCAGGACAGGGTGCCATTTAGATCTGGTCACAGAGTCTCAGTTCCCTGCGTATTGTGCTTAACTCATGGGACATCACAACAGCAGACACTTGACATATACCGTCAAGTGAGTCCTCACCAGGCTTCTTTTATAGCCAAGAGAATTAAGACTTAACAGTGGACCCTCAGCCATCGGGTAGATTCCAGCTGGCAACCCTCCTCTGTCTTTCCGGGAGGAAACTGTCCATTTTCCTCCTGTGGAGCCCGTGGTGGATTCGAACCACTAGAGAACTGCCTCTAGGGTTGGCAGTTGTGGATACACCACAAGTGCTCCCTGTAATAGTACTAGAGGGTTGTTGTTAGGTGCCATCGAGCACGACTCCCAGTGACCCTATGAACAGAGCTGAACTCTATCCTGTCTTGTACCATCTTTATCATCTCTGATATACTTGATCTCATTGCTGCAACCACTGTGTCACTTCAACTCACTGAGGGTTTTCCTTTCTTTAGTTAACCCTCTACCTTTCCAAGCATGACGTCCTTTCCTAAGGAATAGACTCACCTAACAACATGCCCAGAGTATGTGAGATGAAGCTTCACCATCCTTTCCTCTAAGGAGCACTTTGGCTACACTTTCTTTGAGACATATATTTGTTCTTTTGGCAGTGAATGAGATGCTCAATGCTCCAAAACCACAGCTCAAAGGCATCGATCTTTCTTCTGCCATCCTTAGTGTCACACAGCAGTTGATGAAAAGAGCAAGGCTTGACTCAGGCACCTTTTAGACTATAAACTGACATCACTGCTTTTTAATACTCTGGAGAGGTCCCTGACAGAAGACCTTCCCAGTGCAATACTTTTTTTTTTCTTTCTAATTCTTGACTGCTGATGCCAAGGGTGTTGATTGTGGATCCAAGGAAGATGAAATAATGAATAATCTCAAACTTTTCTTCATCTCTCATGGTTTTGCCTGTTGGCCCAGTGGCGTGGATTTTGTCTTCTCAAAGTTGAGAAATAGAATCCAAATTGCAGGTTGTAGTCTTTGATCTCCTAGAACAAATGTTTCAAGTCGTCCTCACTTTCAGCAAGCAAGGTTGTGACAACTGCATAACAAAGATTTTTGATGAGTCTTCCTCTAATTCTGCTATCATATCCTTCTTCATATTTTAAAAATATCAGAGAGCTGGTTTGAGGTTCTCCCTATAATATTTCTTTCACACATTTGCTGTTCTGGAAGAGGGAGGTGAAAATAGCTCCATGAATTTTGACAATCTTTAGAGTGCCCATGACAAAGTGTCCTTGTGTGACTCTCAAAACAGGTCCCACAGGGAGGGACACAGTGAGTCAGGGCACAGAACGAAGCCTGGCACAGCTAGCAGCAAGAGAAAACACATCTGGAATGAGATTGGAGACGGTTGTCCTGACCTCAGGTTATGAGTGGCCTTTGCAGGCTGCAGACCTGCAGAAACAAAGGGTGGGGTGCAGGGCTGATGGCAAGGAGGTGGTTACAGGTGGAGAGCAGGCAAGCTGACCGCCCTGCCTGCTGAAGATAAGAGGACAAGTACTTATCCAGGAGACAACTGGCAATGTCCAAGCTAGGGTACATGCGCACGGCTGCCCCCAGGAGCAGGCATACTGCTGCTGGAATTCTGGACAGGCAGGAGCAGAGGGCTGGAGGCAGATAGCCAGAGGGGCAGCTGGGAGCAGATGGCCACAGGGACCACGAGGGCAGAGGGCTGCAGGAGCTGCCAGGAGCAGGTCAAGCCACAGAGGTCTGATGTTGCTATGGTGACAGGAAGGAAACCAATTTCAAGATGCTGCAGAGGTAGAAGGACTCCCCGGGTGGTGCAAATGGTTGATACGTCAGTGCTAACCCAAAGGTTGGAGGTTCAATTCTACCCAGAATCCCTGCAGAATCGAGGTCTGGAGAAGTACTTCCCAAAATCATCTACTGAGAGCTCTACAATACAGTTCTCTGACAGAGAAGCGGGCTCACGAGTCAGAGTGGACCGGGCAGTGGCTAGTTTGTGTTCTGTTTCTCACTGGAATTGGAAATCGGGAGCCACGGACTTGAAGTAGAAACAAGGCCACGTAACTCTCGTGTAGAGCCCTGTCTGTGAAGGACAACTTCAAATGCAAATAGATGGATTGCCAGTCTGTCTTCAGAGCCCTTCACCTCCTCTCCACAGGCCTGTTGTGTGCATGGCAGGACCTGCAACTCTGGCTTCTGTCCACTAGATGTCAGTAGCACCTACCCAGCTGGAAGGACAAAATGTTCTAAACCAAATGCCTGTGAGTCGATTGCTCACAACAACCCTCCTCTGGGTGCAGAGGCTGTAGATAGTAATAAGAGGAGACGACCCATCTCCTCCCAGGGAGCCAGAGGTCAGCCTTTTGGTCAGCAGCACATCACTCTACGCCCCATGGCACCAGAGCTGCCCTCCACCAACATCTCTGGACACTGACATGACCAGGGGAGGGGACTGAGTCACCTAGAGACCGAAGAAGAAGGCAAGGGCCTTGTGTCTTGCTGGCTCTGAAGGCTTGAACATTGCCCAGGTTGCCATTTTCTGTCCACCACCCTTGCCCCTCTCTATAGGCCTCCTGAGGTTCTTGCCCAGTTTTCCGAGCACTGAGCCAGCATCAGTGCAGCTGGGACTATGGCAAGTGGCCCTTGCCAGTTGCCAAGACCTTCACAGAGTAGACACCCTACTGCTGCCTCCCCAACTCAGAGATGCTCCAGGCTCCCCAGCTCCCAGTGGCTCCAGGGATGCTTCCTTCATCGCCTTTCTATGCTGGCCCAACACCTTATGCCTCCTATTTTATACCTTCGCCTTGCCTTGCTGTGCTCTGCACCTACATGCTCCTGCCATCAGACTGGCTTAGCTGGCCAGGATTAATGCGATCCCTCAATCTGGAACAAGTGCCAAAGGCGGGCCAGGCATCCAGCTGGGGGCAACACTCTGCAGACACCAGGTGAACCACCTGCTCAAGAGCAGCTCAGGGCTGGCAGAGGGAAGGACCGATCTGAGGACGGATGGTCAAGGTTCTAGAGGATGATGATGGTGGTGGGCACAGGAGACAGAGCTGAGCTGTGAAAGCAGGAGTCGCTGACTGAGGCAGCGCCGTGAGCAGACCATTAGCCCAGTAACCTGGTGGACATGCTACCCTTCCGGAAATTCAGTGATTAATGATCCAACTAGGGGACAATTTGCCTGCAGGAAAGCCCAATCCCTTTTACTTTAGGAGATTCATGATTGAAAACGAGCTATTTATGCAGCCAAAAGTAATGTAGACTTCAGCTGAGAGGCCATTGTGGTTTCGTGGCAGAACTGTCCCCTAGTGCGTGCAGGCCCTACGGTGTGGAGTTCCTGTTCATCTGACAGTTGGAGAGTGACTCCGGAACAGAAGAGACAGAACCGTGCCTTTGAGCTGCTGTGCTGGTGGAGAGCACCGACGATCCGCGGACTACCAAGAGCCAAAGGAGCCTGACCTGAGGAAGAGCGACCAGGCTCCTCCTCACAGGCAGAGCTGAGGACACTTTTGGGCATATTGTCAGGAAGAGTCAGTTCTTAGAAGAAGACATCACGCTGGGAGAAGTGGAAGGTCAGTAAAAGAGAGAAAAACCCTGAACAAGACACAGAGACTGTTAACAACAGAGGACCCCTGGGGAGATCGGAGCTGGGTAGGGTAAGGCAAGGTTCAGCTCTGTTGTTCATAATGAGTCATAGTGGACTACGCAGCACTTAACAATATCAGCATGTGGGAGACCTGAGTTTGATTCCCAGCCACTGCACCTCACGCACCACCCACCTGTCAGTGGGGCATGCATGCTGCTTTGAGGAGCCTGCAGACTTAGAAAGGCCTGCTGATTGAACAAAAATCGGTGAAAACCCGCAGGCCCACCAGGCCGCGTTTAGTTGTATTGTGTGTGGGGTCACCACGATCAGGAGGCTGACTCTCCGGGCAGCTAACTCAGGCCTTAGCAGGCAGTCACTGAACTAAACATTAAAGAGACAAGGGGCCTCACGGACTGGGCCTCCTTCACCAGCAGATCTCCGCAATGCCGATCATGGCCTCTAGAGGGCAGCACCCGACCTGCAGCGGACAGTTCACCACGTTGCTGCAGCTCTCAGGTCTGACTGCAGGACAAATCGACCTGGGGTCTTCTGACCAGGAGAGGAGGGAAGTGGACGCTGGGCCAGGCTCACTCTCCCTTTACATCAGATCGTTTAGCAATCCACCAGGGATCAATTCCTTCAGGGAGACCAAGTTTGAGCCTTTCCTTGGAACTGAGCTGTAGAGCAGGTGAGGACAGGTGGGTGTCCTCCTGGGAGGTCCAGGACCCACTGGTTGATGAAAGAGGTTTAGAAGGTGCTAGGCAGATCGCTCACCATGGTGCAGGTGAAACCTCTGTGCTCAGGTGACTGGGTTACAGTGCCATTTGCAGGCTAAGATGGACTGAGGAGATGGTCATGACAACTGACTTTCCAAAACCCACTAACAGAAGCCGCAGGGACGGCAAGACCAGTCAGGATGAGGTGGCCTTAGCTCTGTTGTCCGTATCACCTCGCCTGAGACCCTAATAAGATGGAACACTGGACAGGAATGGGGGCCAGGGAAGCGAGAGGAAAATGGCGCCCTTCCTTCATGGCATGGCCTCTGGCCACCCCTTTCAACAAGTGCTGTCCACTCCTGGTAGGGCACAGGGGATGCTGGCCCTGGCCGTGCTGCCCACAGGCCCGCAGCCCTCGGACAGCGGCCACTCTGACTTACTATTTGGCGGAGTCGGACAGCTGGTACTCCCTTCTGCGGTCGTAGCACTCCTGGATGCCCGGGTCCTGCCACAGTTGCTTGATGGCCTCTACCTGGGTCCTGGACAACTGGGTCACTTTGTCCACTTCCACTGCCTTGATGATCTGGGCGTTTTCCTACGTAAAGAGAAAAGATTTATCCATTAGGGGAAGGGCAGGAGGCCCTTGGTCTGTGATTAGAGAGGGGATGTCAGCACCCACCGTGTCCCCAAGGCCGAGACTCAAGGACTGTCCCTCAGAACCCGGGCCAGTAACACCAGCATTCAAGGTCCTGTCCTTGAGAGAGAAACCAAACAGTTACCTAAACTAACATGACAGCTTGTTGACAAGCTTAGTCCTCTCAATGTTTGCGTGGCTAACAGTGCACTTTAAATGGGCCTTTACAACCCTTGCCAACTCGGGGGGCGGGGGGAGTGACAGAGCTGTTTGCTCCCCCATCTCCACCCTCCACTTCAACCCAGACAACAAGATGCGCTATGCTGGGAGAAATGCAAAACAGTGATCGATAATAATCCAATAGCCTGCTTTTAGGTACCATTATGTACTAGCGATCAAAGACCAGTCCCACTGCATCCCCAGAGCCCATCCCATGTCTCTGGTTATGACAATATTACATTTTTTGTTGCCATGGTTGTTAAAGAATTAATCCACTACATTATTGCTCTATTACTACAGTACTTGTTAAGGTCACTGTTACTGCAATTATTACAATTACAGTAGTTATTGTTTATCGTCCACTTACGACGTGCAGAGGGTTTTACACGCATCACCTCCTCCAACGTGTGGAAGCCTGGCACAAGGCCAAAACTCTCCCCAAACATGAAAGTATGGAAATGGAATCACCACTTTTCCTGTGTTGCCTCTGTAGCAGGATGTCAATCTAGAAGTGCAGGGTGCATAACCACGGGCCCCTGGGAAGCAAGAGTGATAAAACACCACCTCACATACTTTGGGCTTGTTATCACTGGGAGCTGGTCCTCAGGAAAACACATCACGCTGAGAACAGTGGAGGGCCAGGGAAAGAGAGAAAAACTCTCAATAAAATGGGCCGGCATGTCCTGTTATAATGGGCTGCGACAATGCCACACAACAGCACATTGGAGTTGTGAGGATGGTGTCGGGCGGCATCACTCTCAACTCAGGATTCCTAACATTAGTGACATTTTTGAGACTGAGTAGTGATTAAAAAAAAAAAGGAGGGGAAAAATTGAAGGCTTCTACTAAGTTCCTAATAGTGTTGTAACTGATAATGTTGCAATTCGATGTAGAAAGCTTTCATGAAACAATTTTGTTGCTAGCATTCTAATCTAAGAAGAATGAGAATTCCAGAACACTTAATTGTATTCATGCTAAACCTATACAAAGACCAGAAAGGAGTAGTCAGAACAGAGCAGAGAAACACTGCAAGGTTCAGGATCAGAAAAGGTGTTCATCAAGGATGCATCCTATCACCATATCTTTATAATGTATATGAAGAACAGGCCGTTTGGGAGGCTGGACTTTATGAGGAAAAATGTGGCATCAAGATTGGAGGAAGACTCATCAACAACCTGTGTTATGCAGATGACACAACCTTGCTTGCAGAAACTGAGCAAGACACGAGGCATATGTTGCAGAAGGTCAAGAACTGTAGTCTTCAATATGGATTGAAGCTCAATATCAAGTAAACAAAGATTCTCACCACTGAGCCAAATGGCAGCTTCATGATAGATAGATAGATAGATAGATAAGAGATTGAGATGGCTGATAAGGTCAGCTTGTTTCGTTCCACAATCAATACTCTTGGCATCAGCAGTTAGGAAATCATAGGACGAATTGCAATGGGAAAGTCTGCTGTTAGGGACCTCTCCAGAGTACTGAAGAGCAATTGTATCAGTCTGGAGACTAAGGTGTACCTACTTCTAAGCATCAGAGAAATGGACAATGACTAAGGATGATAGAAGAAAGATCAATACCTTTGAATTGTGGTGCTGGATAAGAGAGTTGAACATACCATGGACTGTCAGGAGAACAAATAGGTTAGTCTTAGAGAGAGTGAAACCAAGCTGCTCCCTTGGAGGCAAGGATTTTGAAGTTCTGTCTCACATGGTTTGGGCACATGACCAGGAGGGATCAGCCCTTGGAGAAGGACATCACACTTGGAATGGTGGAGGGACAGCACAGGAGAGGAAGACCCAGATGAGATGGATTGACATGGTAACTGGGGTACTGGAATTAGGTGTGTCAAAGTTAGTGAGATTGTCTCAGGACAGGACAGGGTTCTGAGCTGTTGTACATAGGGTCACTATGAGCCACAAGCGACTTGATGGGATATAACAACAAAAAAAAATGACATTTTAAGCAATTTCTAACCATATCAGTAGTATTCTAGAATTAGAATTGATAATAAACATTGCTAAGGGCTTCATGGTTTGGGGGATGAGTGTGATTACCACACCAGGCGGCACCAGCCCTGTCCCCTGCTGACCAGGAACCAGAGCTCTGAGTTTTAAGCAGAGAAGCAGGACTTCCAGGGTCATTGCTATGTTACTGGTTTCAGTGCTGTCATTTGTGAAACCAGCTGGTGATTTTTTCAAGACAGTCTACTTATCAACTAGAAAGCAACATCCAAACGAGTGTTGAGTTAGTCTTCTGTAGCTGGGATGTAATAAAGAATTCTTGCTTGCAAAAGAAAAGACTTCCATCATCCTTAAACCACACTGCTAATCTCACCCCCATGGCTGCCCCATGGCCCATAGCAAGTTTGGCCACTGAATGGCAAGAGTGGTTGGGCTTGTGTGAAGGAGGAAGGCTGGTCTGCTTCCTTCACGACTCCAGCCACTCTACTCCAAGTTCACATTAGTTAGCTCTGCTCTCTGCTAGGAAAAGATCTATTTTCCTCAGAGTCAGAAATGGCTTCAAGTCATTATAGGTCCTTCAAGTCATTAAGGTCCTTGGCAGCAGATCTGTTCAGAGCCATGTATTATTTGGTTTCTTCATTGCTGCTCCTACGGGAGTTGATTGTGGACCCAAATTAGAGGCAATCTTTGACAAATTCAGCCTTTGTTTCTTATCACAATGCTGTTTATTGGTTCAGCAGTTATTAAGCCAACTTTTCATAATTAAATTTAGGGGCGCTGCATGACAGACTTGTCATGATATTATTTGTCCGTAGGTCTCAGATTCTAGGTTCTAGTGTCAGATTCACATGCATATAAAACCCCCAAAACTTATTGCTCTTGACTCTGAACTGACTCACAGATGACCCTCCAGCGAGTTTCTGAGGTGGTAGATCACACAGGAGACTGCCCATCTTTCTCCCTCGGAACTGCTGGGATCTGAACCACCAGAGTGTACCCCATTTTGGGGTTAGCAGGGCAGCTTGCTATAGACAAGGCTACCAGAATTCCCTACCAGAGTGTTTGACAAATAAAACGTTTCTTCTAAGGACGGTCAATACACGTTTGTCACAGGTATAACATGCATCTAACTAACAGACACAAAATCCCAAGAAAATAAGAGCAGAATAATAAACAAATGATCTGGTCAGACTCAAAGGAGCCAGAGGCCAGCAATAGACTTTGTAGGTGGGCCTTGGCCAACTTGTCTTTCTATCTGTGCCCTGGGGACACTCAGCGGCATTGCTTTCTGAGACACAAGTCTGTCATGCAGCGCCCCTAAATTTAATTATGAAAAGTTGGCTTAATAACTGCTGAACCAATAAACAACATTGTGATAAGAAGAAACAAAGGCTGAATTTGTCAAAGATTGCCTCTAATTTGGATACACAATCAACTCCAGTAGGAGCAGCAATGAAGAAACCAAATAATACATGGCTCTGGACAGATCTGCTGCCAAGGACCTTAAGTACTGAAGAACAAGAACGCTGCTGAAGACTGTATCTTCAGTTACATGCATTCAAAAGGCAGACAGCGCATAAGATAGACTTCTATGGAACCGCTCCTGTTGGATGGGCACTGTGGCTGCAGAAGGGGCAGAGATTGTGAGATTGGCACAGTATCGGGCAGCATGAATGAAGGGCAAGAGGGAGAGAAGTTGGAAGATTTTGGGCTGAAATTATTTTATTGGGGGTCAGGAATCTCAAGGGAGTCATTATTAACAGGAGTGGACACAGCAGATAAACCCAGCCACGTTTGCAAACAATGAGCTAATCGCTGGCTTTCCCCTTTCTTCTTCTCAAACAAACCTCCATTTTAATTGCTTTGAAGGGGAAACACAGAGAACAGATGTTGTGCATGTGTGTCTCTCTGAGAGATTCCCAGGGTGACATGAAAGGAGCTGGGAAGAAATGGTGTCTCGGCGGGTGCGCGGTGGCGGGCCCTGCGGTGCGCACTCGGCCCCGCCAGGGGGCGCCCAGCCGCAGGCAGAGAAGGCGGCGCGGGCGCGCACACAGCTCCAGGCCCGGAGGCTGGGAGGAAAAGCTCCCTCCAGGCCCCCAGCCGGCGCGGCCCTGTCACGGAACAGGCCATCTTCGTAAACTCTATATCCAGTCCTGCTGTCTATACAGTCGACGCTGACTGCCATATTCGTTCAAGTGTCTGTTCTTATACTTGCAGAGGCTGAAATCCACAAGCTGCTTCCTGGAGAAAGATGGACCATCTCCTGCAATTTACTAAAAACCAAAAAACTTCTAAACAAACCCCTCAAAATCACCCCTCAAAGTCAGAGGAGTTTGAACTGACCCCAAGCTGACCCTCTAAGGAGTTGTTTTTGTCTTTTTTTTGAGGCTGAGAAATCAAACCCACTGGTGGATGTTACCCATCTTTCACCCTTATAGAGTTCCTGGTGGATTCGAACTGCCAGAGTGGGGCCTTTGGGTTAGCAGCGCAATTCCCTGCCAACTACCGTCAGCTTTGAGTCGGTTCCAATGAGTGGACTTGGAGAAGTGACAAACATAAGTACTTCACTACCAGCTCAAAGGCTAGGAGTGAAAGGTCACCAGAAGGCAGGCCTAACAATCAGCTTCCTTTGTCACAGCCTTGAAAATCTGATGAAACAGTTCTCTGCACATATAAGACTGGCTGGATTTGAGCTCAACTGGCAACAACAGCCATTCTGATATGTACCACCCATACACTTCAAACTTGGTGAAAAGAGGCAAGATTAAAACACAGAAA